TGTGCTATCCCTGATTCTGCAGAGGACATATTTGTTCCGTGAGTGCTATTTAAAGGTTTTGAATACCCTACTCACTCCCTCCCAACCAAAAAAAAGAAAAGGAGGGGGGCAATATTTCTTGTATCACCCACGCCATAAAGATCAACTTAACAGGGATAGAGGAGATAAAGTCCAGATACCCCAAATAGTTACCCAAGTATCTAGCCTGCAACCTCTTAGGATAGAAGCCAATGGTGCGTTTTACTGGGAAGAGGGAGAGCCTCACATTTCTTTCCTGCTGCATCTGTGAGTTAAGTCTCAACATTTCAAGATCCAGTCCCAGATTCAGTAACCCAAGCTGGAGCCTTTGAATCACACCTAGTGTGGGTAGCTGGCCAACACATTTTATCTTATTTGGAAGAGAAACTTCTCGTTTGGAAGAAGCTCCTCATTTTTCCATGTGACTAAAAAAGCAGCCACTGCTTGAAGCTCTTCTGGTTTAGAATATTAAAACAAATTGTAGAAAAAGCACAGAGGTGATCAAGTGTTGTGAATAGACAGAAGACGTGCATCATGCTGTTCAGCACTTCAGCACGATATTCTAAAAGTTCAGGTATAGTCACCCTCTTTTCCCTGGCCTAAGATTCATTTACAGAACAACCAGTCTGAATTTTTTATTTTTCCTTTTAAAATGAAGAGATGCAAGAACAAGCACATAAAATCTAAGGTTGGCTGCATTCATTCCCAGGAAAGGACTGTGGCTGTACAGCAACATGTGCAAAGTATTTTACTTCTCCCCAGATTCATTACCCCGCTAAGCCGGTTGCTCCTTAGGCTAAGAACAAAAGACAAGCTGAGTCTTCACAGCCTGAAGAGCCATTTATGCCGTGCTCCTTTGCAGCCACCTTTTGCATACTTGGAGTAATTGCCCTGCCTCCCCCTCAGTAATTTCTTCTTTACATTAAACAAACACGGGAGATCTTTTGATCTTTCCTCGCTGTTCAAGCTGGGGCAGCTTCCACACAAAGGCGCAGGCTTCTGCGTGCATTGAACAGGTACTGCAAGCTCCAGGCCTTCTAGGGGCGCTTACCTGAGGGAGTCACAGCTGGCACTGATTCCACCAAGCATCTTGGTTTTAGCTATTCCTGTAATAGTGCAAGTGACACAAAATAGGTTTGACCTCACCTGATCTGTTTTCACTGCAGAACAGATTAAGGAAATAAAAATAGTATCATGAAACTTTTTTTTTTTTTTTTTAAGATATGTGAACTCCCTTTCCAATTATAACATATCCCCCAAGTAGTTAAACATCAATTACTTATTTAAGGCCAGGCTTACAGGACAGGGTCTTCATCCTAGTGTGTTTTTCCAGAATTTAAGGAGCCAGAATCCCTGCAAAGTGGCATCTCTTTACAGCCAACACTTCCCCCGCTCTTTCCCAAGTAGGCGCCTGGGCCTGGGGCATAGGTGAAGAACCTGTGTGATGAGTGTGATCACACATGCTGATGGCACAGTGGCTTCCTCATGCCCCACGGCTGATGCTGGGATAAGACAGGAGCACGTTTGGGACGGGAGTGGACAGGCATGTAGGAACGACTGGGTCATTGAACAAGGGCGAGGGAGCCTGAGCAGGAAAGTGAAGATTAAAAGAGGCAGAGGCCTGTGAAGCCTGGGGAACCACATGAAAGGCGGCCTGTGCCTCGACACGCGGTTCAGGGTGGGAGGCCCCGCTCCGCAACCACAGGGCAGCACCTTGTGACTCGGGCGCAGGGCCGAGCCGGTTGTCCTCTCACGGCAGGTTGCGGAGTGTTGAGCACCCTCAGCCACGAGGGGAAGGCAGTGAATCCCCAGTGGTCCCCACCGGGCACCGCTGTGGTGCAAAATTGTGTCAGCACAGAGGTGAGGGCCCTCCCTGGCGCAGAGACAGCACTCAGAGACGCTCCTTTGCTTATAAACCCATCAGAGAGAGCCAGGTCACTGTGTAAAGTTATTTTATTTCAGAATTCCACGCACTCTGTCACAGACCATGCACTAGACTTTCCCCTTTTACAAATCCACGGCCTCCGGGCCTGGGACAGATGGGCATCATCTCCTCACTCCACACTGCGAGTACCCACATGCTTAGAGTGAGGGTAGCTTGCCGGGAGGCAGAGGGCAGCCTCTTGCTTCCATAATTGCTTCTAGATCCTTAAAAAGAAATCCACTGGACTTCAAAGGTTAACAGCTGGGCTCAGCAGTGGTGACAAGCCGCTGCTGAGCAAGTTGGTCCTTACCCCACAGTTGAGGGCAGCAAGACGACAACCTGAGGGGAAGCTGTGTGAGCCAAGACACAGCACGACACACCAAGGAGCTTTTGGATCCCAGAGAGCAAACAGCCCGCGTGAGCTCCGGGCCTGTTACAATCACTCGTCTCCAAGCCGCTCTGCTGCGAGCTGCCCTTCTCACATTCAGCGTTAGGCCCCTCTGCTCTGCACTCCCAGCTGGGGCTAGGAAGGAGCCTGCCCACAGGGAACACAAAGCAGCCTTCCCGGCTGTACGTCAACACACGCCGCGCTGCGTCTTATCATGGAAAGGTGCCGGTTCAAAAGATTCTCCCCAAATCTGTTAGACCCCAGGCTGGGTACAACATTAGTGCAGATTTCCTGCATACTTGCCCTGCTCCTTCTTCATCGCCTCTGTCAGGCTCTGCTCTTGAAACACTCACAGACGCAGCATCCCTGTGACCTATTACATCTTTGGCCTTTGCTGAGACTGCCACTGCCAGGGCAGTTATTGCCCACCGTGGGGGCTGCCTGTAGGAAGAGAACATCTGCAAGGGAGCTTGTGGCTAGCTCAGGAAGAGGAGAAAAATGAAGAGAAGAAATGATTGCAGTGGAGCAAAGTCTACAGGAAAGGCAAAAAGGCAGCTGCAGTCTCTGTTTGATACACAAATTCAGCTCAATAGCAGCAACAAGAAATGGCCATCAAATATTAAGTCATTAGGTTGCCAGGAAGAAGAAAAAGTATTCATGTAAAAAGTTCTATGTACAGATATGTGTGTGTGGCAAATGTTCTGAAGCTAAATCAGACGCTGTCTTCCTCCTGCTTGTGTCTCACCTTTCTTGTGTTGATCTTGTGTTTTGATCGCTCCAGACCGCGTTGCTGCTCAGTTCTGTGTGAAGACCACAGTATCGCACTCAGCACCAAGCAAAGGGTGAGATCTCACTGAAGAAATGAATCTGTGGGGAACTCCTGACAACCTCGATATTTTAATATTTTTGTTGACCTTCAAGTAATTAGAAGAGAGGGGAATTTCCCCAAATCTCACCTGTCTGCTTTTAGGGTAGGAAGGCTGACATCAGAAAGGCAGTGAAGGACAGGGAAAGGAAGGAGGAAAAAATCCCAGGAACTAGAGTGAGAGCGATCAACAACAGACCCAACACTGACTGCTGCAAAAACTTACAAAACACAAAATCTTACAAACAGAATCTCTGTTAACCTTTTAGAGACTACAGACTATTTACACACACAAACTTCAAATTATGCATCTGGTAGTACCCTAAGGATTAAATAATTTAAAATGCAACACTGTGTTATCACTGTATACAGAATACTATCTGATGCACTTGCTAAAATGGACGGATTGTCCGAGAAAAATGTGCCCTCCCTCGTCTCACCTGCACTGCCTCTAAAACAAAAACAAGGGATAAAGACTCTGCTGTTCCACTTCTGAAACACACCCTGAAATTCTTCTGCCAAAGGGGAGTAAATCCAGAGGATAAGGGAAGGCCAAGGGTGTCTGCTCTCTCCAGCCTCCACTCCTGCACAACCCCCTTGATTTGCGTGGCAAGAAAGACTTGACAGCAAAGGAAGGTGCTAAAGATGGGGAAAGGCTGTTAGGATTCTCTAGCGATGGCTCTGCTGTCATTTGAGAGGTGCAGAGCCCCAGAGGCAGGACACCACTCTGCCCCGCTCCTGAAGGCAGGAGGCCACGAGGCTGAACACCGAGGACACGGAGTCCCGTGTGCGACGTGCTGGCCGTGCTGTGGCTCTCCCTCAAAACCACACCGTGCTCCAGCAGCAGGTGGAAGGACAGTCAAGGGAGGGCAGTGTGAGAGGATTAGGGATCAGGAGTCAGCAGAAGTGCATTACTGATGGGTCTGACCAGAGAGAAGAGGAAGGAGAGCCCTCCCCAGCTTTCTGATAGTAATTGCAAACCAAGAATGCTGGAAAGCCAGCACATGGCAATGAGGAAGGGGGGAGAAAAGCTTCAGAGGTGACTGGAGTAAGGTGACCGGAGTAGGGTGGCCAAGAGACACCGAAAGCAGACGGGGAAGGTAGCTTCTTCCTAAACGCCACCACTGCCTGTGTGCACCAATTCCTGCGTGTGGGTCAGAAACTCACTGATGACACCAGCACAGCCCTATTGGCTTCACTGCCCTGTACTCATGAGAATCTGGCACCCTGTAAAGCCCTTTGGGGCACACAGACCTGCTTCCTCCTCCTCCAAACCAGAGCAGCCATACGCTCTCACAGAAAAGATGAAAACATAATTCTGTTCCCATGCGTGTCTCCCAGCCCTCTCCCGAAATCAGCCTCTCTTCCTCCAGGCCAGAGAGACGCCTCTGAAGAGCCGCCCTCTTCTCCATTCCCAGGGCCATTCCCACCAGCAATACCTAACAGGTCTGGCTTGGCAGGAATGGCAAGCCCTGCTCCTTGAACCTCATTGCACAGCCAGACCTCAGAAGTTTCTTCCAAGACTCCTTGCAACAGCTTCAGGGAGAATTGCTCATACTGATGGCTGTGTTGCAGCAGGCTGGACATCACTCCTCAACCCAGCTATGAGGTTCTGTAGGAGCAGGGGCCATGGGCACACACATTCTCCTCTTCCAAACTCAAAAACTGTCACTATAATCATTATTCAGATTTCATTCAGAAATACAACAAACAGCCCTATCCAAAATATCTCATTCAGGCTGCACCTCTGGGCTAGAGGGACAAAAAGAGGGAAAAGAAGCAGGGTGGAATAGGACAGACAAAGAAACATGGGGATAACATCAGACAGGAAGAAATGAAAGGACCTGAACACAAGTCTGCTAAAATCATCACTGGATTCACCGGCCCAGTTCCACCTTCTCCAGACCAAAACTGCTTCAATTCACTGGAGTAAGTTTATTACAGGAGAAAGAAGTGCATAGTGTTTTTCTGGTAGACGCTTAAATATCATCAGAATTTATCCAAGGATTTATAGCTGCAGCTTTATCCTCTTTTCCCTAGCTAACAGGTACCTGCTGCAACAAAAATGGTGGAAATGGACCAGTAGCACCAAGAAATCCAGTGGGAGCAGCAGCTCCACAGCAGGAAATAATAAAGAGCCAAAAGGAGACAGAGAGAAGTGGAGGAGACATATTTCGCAGTAATCGAAGTCCACGTTGGCTAAACACCCAGACCTTCCCCCAGGAAGGCCCCGTTACGTCTGTAGCAAGACCTCTGGCTCTGAGAGAGAGCTATAGAGGGTGTAGCCCAGCTCATCCACCTCTTCTGGGGTGAGCTCCGAAAACAAGTTCACCTTGGGGTTCAGAGCACTGGGGAGGACACCCGCCTCCAAGTAGCGGATCAGTCCTTTCAGCGCCTGCAAGAAGCGGTCGGCCAGCACGTCCTGGGACCAGTTGGACTCCTCTTCGGAGAGGTGCAGAATGACATTGGTGAGCTGGCTGGCAGTGAGGTGGCCCAGCGCCGGGTTCGACTTGCACACTGCTTTGAAGATCTTGAGGCACACGCACCGGCAGCCGGCATCACCCTGGTCCAGGGCCCGCAGGCGGGCGGTCTCCGCCGGCCGCAGGCTCAGTCGCCACAGATTGTCATTCCGGGCCAGGCGATGGGGTTTGGCCACAAGGATGATGTCACCCAGCGTCAGGGAGGGTAGGAAGTCAATGAAAAGATGCCGTTCTGGATCATACTGGACCTCCAGTGTCAAATCTCCTGGAGGAGCTGCTGGACGGATCACATAATCCAAGAGAGTCCCAATTGCTGGCCAGTTGATGGAGCCAGCTACGACTTTCTCAAAGGTGTCTGCTACAGCTTTGGGGGAAAGGTAGCCCCCCACCACACAGCGGTCCCAGTAGCTGCTCCCACGGGGAAAGTACTCGGGGTTTTCCCGACGCACCAAGTAGAAGCCAGGGATGTTCATGATAGTGTCCTCCCCAGGGATGCATGACCACAGGTTCTGCTCCAGCATCAGAGGCACAATAAGCTGGATGTGGTCGGCTGTCACTACCTTTCACAAGGGAGAAAAACAGGTCAGGAGCAGGTCTCTCCCAGCACACTCATTCTTTTCCCCACCACCTCTAGACAGCCTTCTGTTCAAAGGGACTTGCAGGAAGTATTCAGCTGTCTCATTCTCCTCTCTGCGTGGGATTCACAGCCTCCCTCCCATCATCTGAAGGACCATTTCCCAGCTTCAGTGGAAAAAATCAGCAGCATAACACAAGACAGTGCTTTTATGCCACTTGCTACATAGAGATCTTCAAATACTTAAAGGACCTGACATGGATTGTACATACAAGAATCATTTCCCCCCTACTGCTCTGAGGCTACTCCTTGGATGCAAGATGCAGCTGGCCCAGGGCAACAGTGGATAATTTAAAACAGGAGAGTATTAAATTTCTAGCCTAGCTTATGTTGCCATGGTTTAATTATCCTGTTACAGCTTGGCACTGTCCTCACCCGGCCTGCCACATTGTGTGGAAAAGGTCATGAAAGGTCCCTTTTCACCAATGTGATTAAGACCCCAGATCGAAGTTTCACTTGACATTCGTCGCTCCATTCTAGAGCTCTGACTCAACCCAAAAAGCGTGCCTCTGAATCACTCACTATAGCCATGGGCATCTTTCCATCAGGGACATACGCAGCAGGGACTGCTGTCCAATCCACGTCTGTCATGCATTTAAAAAAAAAAAAAAAAGTAGGGAAGACCTACAGAAATACACAGGAGTCCTAAGGGAATGCTGTACATTTGGAAGAAGATGAAAGAGACAGAGAAAAAAATAGAGCTAGCAAGAAAAACACAGCTAAAGGGAGGGAAAAAGAGAAAGGAAAGAAGGGTCTGAGATGATAAAAGCACAAAAAGCCAAAGCTTTTACCGACAGGCCAGAACCACCTGGTCATGCCTGTTGAGAGAAGTACTGCAGACACCAACGCTTGGCTCCACGTCGCGCAACGCGATGCCAGGAGCCTTATTAGAGAGGAATGTTGTGCTGAGACAGCACTGCCAGCGGAGAAGCCAGAAATGCCCCTGCCTAGTGAGTCCGCTGGATAATGACCCGTCACGCGGCGCCAGGAGTTACCTGCAGATCATCGTAGAGGCTGCCGCTGAGGTACATGTCACGCAGGGGCATGTCCGGCAGCTTGGCGCGCAGGAAGCTGCGCAGCTCGGCACAAATATCCACGGCTGCTTGCTTGGCCCGGGCCTGCTCATCCGCTGGGATCGCTACCTGCCTCCTATAATAGGCAAAGAGCTTTTCTTGCAGAGACAAACGGAGGCGGGATTTTTTCAGTTCCATTTGACTCCTTTTGGCAGATGGCTTGGGCTTCGTGGGTCTGAAAAAGTCTGCAAGACAGAAGGAAGACTGCTGAGCAGCTCGTTTTTCAGCCGGAAAACAGCGGCATGGACCTGCACCTCAGGAAGCTTTTAACAGACATTTCACATGCTTTACCCATGTACCATTCAAAAAAGAAAGGCCGAGAAGCTTCAAAAGAAACCGCTAAGGAGGAATCAAGGGGGATGAAAGTAAGTTCCTAGATCTGGATTTTATTCAGAACAAGACTAATGCTCTCATCTTGCACAAGAAATATTTTATTGGCTAAGGTGGCAGTATTTGAGTTAAAGTTCATCAAAAATTCAGCACCATTAGCAGACCAGCTGCTTTTAACAAGATGCCTGAGTGAGGGATAAAGCATCCTTGAACAACCATCGCTATCTCCTTAAGTTTTTAATTATATACATACGTGTGTGTGTGTGTGTGTGTATGTGTACTTAAAAAAAAATATCAGCAAAGCCCACTCCTGACTAGGATGTGAGAGAGAAAGTCATGCCATTTAGAATTGAAGTAGCTGCTGCAACTATGACCAACACCTATCATGATTGGAAGCTGAGAGACCTCGGGGCAAAAACCTCTCTCAAAATTTCATCGGTCAAAGAGAAGAGAGCGCAGGCAAAAGGCAGTGATACAAATGCTCTATGCTACTGTTGGCACTGTTAAGCAACGTCTAACCTGCACAGATTTTCTCTAAATTCTGTTTTTTTTTCAGAACTGTTCCTTATAGAAATGAGTCTCTGCTTCCCATCTACCTTTCAGATTTCTCCTGTCCTTGACCTAGAGAGTTTCAAAAATGATTAGCAAGAATTAAGGGAAAATTTCAGACCTAAGAGATCCTAAGTCTTTGGAAGGACTGTGGAACCGTAGCAGTAGGATGACAGGGGAGACACCACAACCCAGTGGCACCATTAAGCCCATCAGCTATTCCACCTTTCTCCAACAGCAGGCACCTGGCCATGCAACACAGACAGAATGGCCAAATGGGCAGCACGTGGATCTATCTCACCCAACCTCAGCAGCTCCTTCTGCTCATCCCACTGAGGCCTCCTGGGGCAGATATGGGGGTTCGCGTAAAGCCACAGGAAACCAGACTTCAATGACCATTTGCGAAACAACTTACTTCTTCAATTTTAAGTTTTCATTTATTTTTAAGACATGTATGCAAGACATAAGTGCCTATCTCACTGCCCATCACTTGGGAATCCCATCAAATGACCGACCCAGACCCTCTTTAACTCTGCTGTCTAGTTATTTAATGCTTCTTCAGCA